ATTTTGTGAATGAAAGTGTTTTCCTCTGTCTACCTATTAAAGGTGTGAGGCTCCTTTGTGTGTAGACCATAAACGGCACGAGGGATCCAGGTTTTCTAGTATTTTTAAGCTGATGACTAGGAATGAGCAGTGGTAGTCACAACTTTCACAGTTTACGAGTGAATTGCTATGAACTATTCACCGTCCTGTTCTGTCTGGATGTGATTCTGTGATTCCACTGAATAATGGGTGGACTTGGAAGAGTACTAGAGGAAGCATATAGGTCATAATGCCTTGCTCCAAAGGGATTCCTTCTACAACAACCTGAAGCAATAATTTTGGGGTAAGTAAGGGGTTCTAGAACTGCCCTATGAGGCCATTTCTATATTCAGGATTCGGACATACTTCAGAATATATGTCATCCCTCTGCAAGAAATGGTAGAGGTGAAGGTGCTCTGTGGGACTCAAGGGACTCGCCATACAGCTCAGCTGGTCAGATGAGCTGAAATTCATTGCAGTGCTGAAGATCAACATAAATGTTAGCCTCATTTATGAACCCGAAATTAGAATGAAGAGGGACCTAAGGGCTGTGTATACTTTGCACTGGTCTTGTTCAGAGAGGAATTGTACTTGCAGTGCTGAGGCCATGATTTACACATTAACATCAATCTCCCTATCAGAAAGATGGAGATTATAACTTGCCCAACTTTCTGAAGTGCTTTGATGTCTTCAGATAAAAGGTATTGTGCATTCACATTCATTAAAATTCAAGAACAGCCTCTGTGTAAATGACTAGTTATAATGTCATTTGATCTAGCTATCTATTTGGAGAAAAACAGCACTGCATAAATATCCAATTGTTTAACTATTAACAGATTTTCATGTAGAGAAATATTTAGTGTTGGTATCTGATAGAAAGAACCTGTAATTATTTGAGCTATATTTGCTATTTGTCTGCTTTGAAATTTGAATGAGGAGAATGCTATTCATGGACATTTTTAGAAGTACAGCATGTACAGTATAATTTTAAGGCCCAATCTTATATTCCTTGCATGCTCCAAATACCTTCTGACTTTAATGGGGATTTTAGGTAAGCCAAGAATGCAGAATCAGTTCCTATGGCTTGTATGCCAGACAGTTCAGTAATACAATCAGAGAGATTAATAATAGCAGAAGAAGAGAGAAATAGATATGAAAAGGAGAAAAAATCGATGAGATTTGAAATAAGATGGTGACTCAGTGAGGTGGAAGGAGAAAATCTGCGTGGGAAATCTCACCAGAGATTTCATGTTGGTGTTTAAGGATAAAGGAGGCCTGCACTAACTGAGGAGAGCAAAAGGTCAGACAAAAGGAAAGTCTGAAGAAAACAACTGTAACAGAAGATACAGTTATATGTGAAGCTCGAGTCTTGACCAGCTGGGCACACTAAGCTCTTAGCTACACGCGGTCTTGTGTTATTGTGCACAACTCCTTGGGTGGTTTCAGGGATTAACGTCACAGAAAGCCAAAACAAAAATTCTCCACCCTTCTGGCTGAGTTACAATTTGACTTTGCCTGCTCCTTACAGTAGAGGAGACAGGACTTGATTGTAATAAATATAATTCTTAACTAAAATTGCTGGACGCAGACAAGACTTCAGTCCTTCTGGCTGTTTAGCTCTGAGGTGCACTAGGGTCTCTGTCATCGTCCTGTCCTGGATTCCACAGGCCCTGTTGGCTATAACCATTAACCAGCTCTGGATGGAGGTTCAACAAGGAGCGTCTTGCAGGTGGTACCAAGGAAGGGAGGAGGGTACCCAGGGAATCAAGCAGGGTCAGTAAGTGCGAGAAAGGTAAAAATCCAGAAAGCATTTATCTTGTGTAGCAAGTAGTGAGCAGCGTGTGTACAAAGTGTCTGTAGCTGTCTTGAAGACAGGCAGACAGACCAGGAGCTGGGCTGCTTCAGCTTCCCCAGGGAGGGACACTTTGTTCTACTTAGCAAGGGCCTGGAGCCGCCTGTCTGGGAAGCCCTGCAGCACCGGCCTCGTCATCATTACCACGCACCTTCGGGACGCAACTGCCTTACAAACACGCAACTTGCAGCACCCGTCTTTCAAGTCACTTTCCCAATCATTCCCAAGAGTTTCTGTTGTCAGTGGTATGTCAAAACCTGCAATCTGGGTGGCGAGGAATTGCACGCTGGGCTACAAGACGCCTACCCATTCCTCTGAAAAACATCCTTGGTGGAGCAGGCCTGATGGCAAAGGACACCTGTTGTGTGACCTGACCAGCGTTCAAATTACGCTCCGACTCTTGGGGGGGGTCTGCAGTGGTGGCAGTCGAAGGAGCTGCCACCACTGCCGCCACCGGAGTTGCTTAGAAAGGCACAGGGCAGGCCTGGGGCTCTTGTCTTTTATAGGGGGGGGGGTCTCTTATAGGGGGTGCTCAGCCCCCCATATATCAAACCCTGGACCTGACCCTTCACTGAGGAGTGATCCGTTGGAAAGGAAAAGCAATGGGCAGCCTTGGGGGTGTAGAGGTGGCTTAGCCGAGAGCAGCGGTTCCCAAACTGGCAGATTGCGTACCACCAATTTAGAAGGATACATACAACCTTCCGTCTCACCAGCAAATTTTTCGGTTCAACCTTAAGTACCACCAGCAATTTGTTGTCATATAAATTATAATAAATTTGTTCACGCATACCACTGACCGGTTGTGTGCGTACCACTGGTGGTGCGCGTGCCACAGATTGGGAACCGCTGCCGTAGAGGGTAGGAGGCTGAAGGAAAGGGTATCTGAGGGAAAGGAGTGGCTGTGTATGGACCTGGGGGATGCAGCAGCCAGATGTGCGGGTAAGCGGCTAGGGGGTAGCATCGATAACTGATGGCTCCAGAGTGCAGAGGGCCTGGGGGTGAGGAGGAAAGCGGTGCAGCGCCCAGGGGTGAACAGCAGCAGCTCCTGTCGGGGTCGCCAGCCACTCGGAGCAAGGCACAGTCCGCACCTGGTAAAGCCCAGCCCCACAGTGCCCATGACATCCCCAGGCCCCGGACAAGCACCGCCACCGCACGCCAGACCCCCCCGAGATGCTGCCCCGCGAGCCCCAAAGCAGCGAGGC